AGCAGGGAAGCCACTCCCCCAGGATGGATCATCTCATCCTCCGACTCAGCTGAAGCTTCTGCAAAGTACAGATTGGGTCGGGGCAGGGAGGGAGTGAAGGGCTCAGCATTTGGGAATATGTAGAGGAGTGAAGGATGTCAGGCAAAGTCATAGATACAGAGATACACACCAAAAAGAGCACTGTACATAAAGGAAAAAAAAAAAACTCCCTAGGATTAAGCTCTACCTCATCTAAATGGTAGTTAAATTTACTTATAACTTTTCCTATTGGAAGGAAACCTAACAAGACAGTCAAATTAAGTGTCCTTTCCCTGACAAAGTAAACATAACTCACTTGTTTTCATAAACTACAAAGCAAATGAGCAGTAGTCTCAGCCTTATTCCTGAAATTGCCTAGTTAGATAGGCCTATCTACATTGTGACAGGGATAAGAATAAAAACCTTGTTATAAGTGACAATCTGGGCTTACCTTCAAGTTCTGCAGCTTCTCGAGCTTCACGTTCCAAACGCTGTCTAAGTAGCTCCTGCTGCTTTTCCAGATACTGCTTTATGAAACTGTTCTGGCTCATTTCCTCGCCAATCTGTGAAGCGGAAATGGAAAAAGATGATCTAGGAAAGCAAATCAGGAAAATGCAAGGAAGAAAATTTCACAGAGCAAAGGTCTACCCCATAAGCGGAGTCCAAGAAAGATAACAAAAGTGTTAGAAGGTTGTTCTCTGACTATTACTTTATTAAAATTCAGCCTTATGAGTAGCAGAAGATGGCAAAAAGAAGAAGACATTTTTTATTTTAAATATTTAGTTCCCAACCAAAGAGTGATGCTGGTGCACAACAACTTACAAAGAAAGAAGAATTCCTAGAAACTATGTCCTTTCTTTGGTGCTAAGGACCAAACCCAAGGCCTCATGCATGCTAAGCTCTCACTTTCCCAATTAGTTACATTCTCAACCCAAATTATGCCTTTTAATATAAATTCTTAGATAATCTAGAACATTCTGTAAAGATATTCCAAATTAAAACTGAAAGGATAAGAACACTACTATTTCCTTCAAAAGGTCAAGTTCCCGGTTGGGGTTGTGGCTAAGTGGTACAGCTCTTGCCTAGCACAGATGAGGCACTGAGTTTGATCCTCAGCACGACATAAAAATAAATAAGGAAAAAACGTTAAAAAAAAAAAAAAAAAGATCAAGTTCCACCAATATGGGTGCAGTGGTGCACACCTGTAATTCAGGGACTCTGGAGGCTGAGGCAGGAAGATGATCCAGCCTCAGCAACTTAGCAAGACTCTGTCTCAAAATATAAAGGGTTGATGATGTGGTAAACACAAGTGATAAAACATCCTTGGGTTCAATCCTCAGTACCGAAAAACAAAACAATAAAAAAGTTCAAGCCCTACCAATCCATCATGTTGTCAAATATCTCCAAAATTCAAGTATAGTATTTAAAATTATGAAATCAAGAGACTAAAAAAGGAGGGATCTCATTCAGCACATAGGCAGAACTCCATTTTCCCAGTACCACCAAAAACAAAAACAAAAACCCTCACTATATTTCTTCCTGGAGCAAAAAGAAATCCTTGGAAATAAAATTTAAAATCCAGGGACTTATTCCTTTTCCCTTTTTTTCTGTAACACAGATTTCCACACAACTCTTTTGTCCAGTTTTTTCTTTTCATGTCCTCTTCCCTAGAACCTTTCATTTTGTGAGCGGGCAGGCACTGGGGAATGAACTCAGGAGCACTCAACTACTGAGCCACATCCCCAGTCCTATTTTGTATTTTATTTAGAGACAGAGACAGGGTCTCACTGCTTAGTACCTCGTTGAGGCTGACTTTGAACTCACAATCCTCCTGCCTTAGTCTCCTGCCTCAGCCTCCCAAACCACTGGGATTACAGCACGTGCCACTGTACCCAAGCCCTAGAACATTTCTTGCTTATCATGTCCTATTAGAACATCAGAAATAGCAAAGAAACCCAAATAAATACTTCCTATGTTATTAGTCATATTTCTTAAGCATAATAATGTTTATTTTCATCTAAAGTAGAAATTAATCCCTTGGTATTCAATGGACAGTGATAAAATGTGGGCTGCATGTATTAGAGAATAAGCATGTTTGTTACAAAACTTCAAAGACCAAAATGCAACTAACAGAAGGAATACAATTGAAATTGATTAGTTTATGCAGTTTTTTTTATACTTGTTAAGATACCAACTAAACCTCTGAAAACCGGCTAGATCATGATACTTACAGCTTAATGAGATGGTAACAAGGGAGTAGGAAGGTTCTCTTATTTTCCACAGTATCCTGGGACTTCATCTAACATTAGGGTTGCTCAACACTTCATTAACAAAGACCTGAGTTTTCCTTTAAGTGTGTGACACATTATAATGAGGGGATTTTAAAAGCTGACAGGAACCCCAAGAAATTGTGCAGTCTAAGAATTTTTGTTTTTAACGATGGAATAATGTCTTTAGAGGAAATCTTATGCAGAAGCTCAATATAGAAAGTAAATAAAAATGGTAATTTGGTTTAAGAGAAAAATACAAACTTTGGTTTAAGAGAAAAATACAAACTAATTTGGTTTAAGAGAAAGACACAAACTTTGCTTACTTCTGAAGAAGGTATCTTCTTTGGTAATCCATAAAAGCAACTACACATAATTCCAGAAGATCAGTTATGAAACTACAGTTCTAGTCCAACCATTGCTCATATTACAGGTAGGGAAACTGAGGAAACCAAAGCCTCCCAAGTTTAAGTTTCTTCTCCTAAATAGCAAAGCTATTAGTGATGTTTAATAGCAACCACATATAGTTAGTAGGTACCAACAGAAAGGGTGGGTGATTTACAGAGATTGAATTTTTGGAAAAATTATGTCAACCAAAGTTCCTGATCAGCAGGTATTTTCCTACACTGTCCTACTGGTGACCTACTTTACATCCACTACTTTTCCCAAACCAGTGGCAAATAAATGATGTCAGATGCTTATACTACATTAAGCCATACCTTTTGGCACACACTACTTCAAACTAACAGGTTAAAACTAACAGGTAGCTCCTGATTCTGTTTTTCACCCCAAGCCCTTGTGTAAAACTGGGCTTGTTTAGAATTCAATTACCCTACTATGAGAATACTTCCAACCAAAGGAATTTAGGAAAATACTGGTGAGAAATTAAGCTTCAAATATACAAAACCAAGTCATTCCATGTGTGTCTATCTCTGAACAGCCCATTCTATCTAACAAACTTTCTTTCTTACCTGGGAATTTGGCTGGAATGCAGCATGGGGTGTTGAATGTTTCTGTAAATTTTCTAGCATTAGAGCCTGGTACAGAGAAGGGCAAAAGTCAGAAACCAGGGGGAAAAAAAAAAGGAAGAAATCAAATCTCCACCCCTTCCACAACCTTTTCATTAAATTCAATAACTTAAATACACATTTAAACTGTACTTCTTTTATGAAGCCCTGAAAGCTCTTTATTAATACTGTTCTCATTCATATTCTGAAGACCCTTAAAGGTGGCCTTGGTTACCCCTCCTAATCTACAAATGTCAAGATACAGGCATACAGACAATCAGTGACCTGGTTATATCATAAATCAGTGTTGGTGTGACAGACTAGTATTACAATCTCAATATCTTTGCACTTTTAACTAGAGCCCCTTCTAAAACTCCCCATGCAGGTAAGAACATTTCAAATACTCAAACAAGCTTTGAATACATAAAACCAACATGGGGCTGCTGTTTGGGGCCTGAATGAATTACTTGGATCAGTTACCCAGGACTAGAACTACTTGAGTAAACTTGTATATTCCAGCAGAGTGACACCTAGACTTATCAAATTTACAAAAATTTCAAAAAGAAGACTATATTAGAAAATGACCACAAACCCTGTAAACTGTGGTCTGACCTAATCCACAACCACCCACACAAAACCGTCAGCTTCTGTATAAGCAAGCAACTGTCTGCCGAGTCAATCCTTGAGCTAACTTAGCCCTAATGGGTACTACCTGCCACGTATCCTAATGAACTGTAATTAAAGCCAAGACACTTCATCTTCCCTCCATTTTCACCAAACCTATACCCACCAATCCATCTACCTACCTCACGACAAGCCCACCCCCATGTATTCAAATCGATTCAAAATCTCCAACATATACTAACCTGACTCACTTTCTCTCAATATTCACCAAATCCTTGTCTACTCAAATTGCTTCTGGACTCCCTATAAACTAGACACCCCACTATCACCAAGTGCCTTCAAATCAGGGTCTCTTCATCTCACCTCCTAATCTAATCAAGCAGACATTTTTACCCTATCCCAATCGTATTCTTGCAGATACAGATACCAACCCCAGTTACCCCTCCGCCAACTGTACCCCTAACTCGGACCCAGACCAACTCGCCCCCCTCAGGCCAGCAACGCTGGTGGTTGTAGTGGGATTTAACTCCTTCTGCAGCGCATGCGCCGAAAACACAGACACAAACAAGGAGGGGGTGGGGGAAGGAGGAAGGAGCTTAAGACACTCCAGGAGAGTAGCGCACACCCTCCCATTTTGGGCTCGCGCTGCTGCCGTTAAGGCGGGAACCGGCGCGGTCTCTGTTCCAGCGCGAGCCTCACCAACTACCGTGCGCGCGGATCCGCAGGCTCGCGCTGGCGGCCTGAGAGAGCTCGCGCGGAGCCCGAACACTGCGCCTGCGCCGAGGCAGAGACTAGTCTCTACCGGGTCCGCTCCCCTCCGATATCCAGGCAACGCCGACTTCTCACCCCTTTGAGCCGCTTAACCAGGGCACTCTTCTGCCCGCTCTTGGCTAGGCCTCGCTGCTCTAGTGCGGCCTTCAGGTCGGTCACCCGCAGCGCCTGAAGAGGCTTCCCGTCCAGAGTCACCTCCTCCAGCTCCGCCATCTTGCGTGAGGTACTCGGGTCCGTCCCGACGGCTTCGGGCATCTTCGGTAATTTCCGCCAACGCCCTTCGAACGTACCGATCTGACCCCGCCCACTGCCATAGTCTGCCCCTCGATTACCTCTCAAAGCTCCCCGGATTTTTCCGGAACTGCTCGGGTATTTCCGTCTTCACTTCGGCACCAATCGGTTCTTTGCCTCCGCCCTGCGGCTTCTCCTCCCTCACCCTGCTTTGAGGCTCGGTTATATTCGCCTTGCCGAGGCTTTAAATCGAATCTATTCGGAAGCCCTCGACTTTGGCATGCCCGTAATCGGAGATATTCGGCCATCTCCGGTCTTGGAGCTGAAGCGCTGGGGCTCTTGGGTGTTTGGGGCTGATTCGAGACCGGAAGTGCGTGGGCTGCCGGGCTGGCCCTGTTTAGGGATTTCAGGAAATATGGAAGCAGCGGCGGTAGTTGGAGTCAAAGAACTCTTGTGACAGTCTCCGTGTTCTCTGAGACTCCAGGAGGTAAGAAAGGAAGAAGTCCTTACTTGGGTCACACTCGGTGTTTGCCGATTACCTTAGTAGGGCAAGCCTCGTGCTTCCTTATGGAAATAACTACCGTCCCCCATCTTCCGAATCCCCGCCACTCCATCTAAGGAATAAGTTACTCGTGGCTTCCAAAGCGGGCTAGAGGCAGCACTATGTCTTTAGACACAGATAGTGAACTGACTGATTCATAACACTGAACTTGAGTTTGCTGTGAAAGATATGGGACAAGATCCCGAAATTTTCCCTTTCTCGTTTGGCCACTTTGAAAATGGCAGTCACCTTGAACAGTGTTTCGATACTTGAACCGATGTTAATTGTTTAGGGGTTCCTTTATTTTTCACTGCAAATCTTCCAACTTAAGAGCAGAAGAAACACAAACAGCAATATAGGTCATGGACAAATAATTTAAGGTTTTCATTGCTAGAAATTCAGACTGTATGCTGGAAACAACTCAAATCAAATTGATCGTTCGATTGCATTCAGGTGTAAAATGAATAGGAGGTCACCTATAGGTATATATCTCGATTTAGAAGGCTGAGACAGGAGGATTACAAGCTCCAGGCCAGCCTCAACTTAGCGAGACCCTGCCTCAAAATAAAAAATCAAAATGACTGGGGATGTAGGTTAGTGGTAAAATTTCCCTGGATTTCATCCCCAGTACCACAAACACGTTAAGAAACACAAAAACACATTAAGGAAAATAGTTCAAAGACAAATTGTCACACATCAGTATAACACTTGTTAGACCCATATAAGTCAACAAACCAACTTGTTTTTCAGACCCTTGAAGACCTGGCTTCTCTTGGTTTTCTAATTTATCTAATTTGGGACAAGGTCCTCACTCTGCTGTTTAGTGTTCCCTTGTGCTTTATAGAAAATATTAAGGGGATCCTGGATTCATGGATAATATGAAGTTCTTACAAACTTCAGAGACTATATGCATATTGCAAAAAGGCCCTTTCACACTATTATGATGTTTTCAATGTTTTTGTTATTGATGTGACAGTTTTGCCGTGTTGGCAATAAGAGTGTATAACAGTGCTTTTATGTTTCAGGATGCCACTGGAATCATCTTCCTCTTCAATGCCACTATCCTTCCCTTCTTCATTACCCTCAGTACCAGACAATATTACCAACTCTTCCCCTCCCCCCATGTCTTACATCACTTCCCAGGAGATGAAGTGTATTCTTCACTGGTTTGCCAGTTGGTCAGGTCCCCAGCGTGAACGTTTTCTACAGGACCTGGTAGCAAAGGCAGTGCCAGGAAAATTACAGCCACTGCTGGATGGTCTGGAGCAACTTAGTGTATCTGGTGTAAACCGACCACCTTGTATCTTTGAATGTCAGCTACGTCTTTGGGATCAGTGGTTTCAAGGTTGGGCTGAGCAGGAACGCAATGAATTTGTCAGACAACTGGAGGTCAGTGACCCAGACTTCGTGGCAAAGTTTTACCAAGCAGTTGCTGCTACAGCTGGTAAGGATTGATAGACATTCAGATCAAAGAAAATAACCACAGCTGGTGGAGTCAAGACCATCTCTCCACAGTGACTCAATTCAAATGTGTCACTTAAAGATTTGGGGATAGTATCTCAATGAGCTGACTGAACTTACATATGAGTATCGGCATGGTTACTTCAATGTTACCAGCATTTCCTCTGGATTCCTAGTGAAATTGTTGTCCATTTAAGCAGATCCAAATCAGTCTCCTAGTTTGCTTCCTTTCAAGAGATGTCAAAACCTCATAAATGTAAATGACTTTTGCAACTGTAACTGAAAGGAACTTTCATGTTACAACTGAAGTCTATTGCTGGCTCATGAAGGATATAAAGTAGAATCCTTCCAAAGAAACAGGCTAGAAGAACAAGAAAAAGTGTTATTTGGGGGAAGGGTACTGGGGATTAAACCCAGTGTTGCTCTACCACTGAGTTATACTCCCATCCCCCTCTCCCTTTTTTTGAGACAGAGTCTTACTAGGTTGCCGAGGCTGGCCCCAAACTTGGAATTTTCTTGCCTTAGCTTCCCAAGTTGCTCATTTATGGGCATATGCTACCATGACTAAGGAAAGATATTTTTATAGTTTGGTGGGATTCTGGTTTTACTACCCTTCCCATACTCTAGCATAATTATGCAACATCCCAACCACTGGGTCTCCCAGTGGAGATTTAGTAAAATTATGGAAAATCAGGAGAGGGAGATAATTAGTTACTCCCTCCTTCACACTGTTTGACCCCAATTAGCAATGAAAATTGATAAAATACCAAATTGTAATGAACTTTTTGTAAAGCACATATGATATTCTTGAAGTCTGTAGCAGATGTGTCTGTTGTTGCTCTACAATAGTATGTAAATAGCTGGATGTGGTGTTACACATCTGTAATCCCATCTACTAAGGAGGTTGAGGCAGGAGGATTGCAAGTTCCAGACCAACTTCAGCAACTTCTTGAGACCTTGTCCCAACAAGTAAAAAGGGCTCAGTAGTAAAGTGTCCCTGAGTTCAATCCTTAGTACCAAAATAACAAAAAAACAGTGTGAAAATAAGTGATACTTCACAGGTTAGTTTATTTTTTTGTACCAAAATAAATTTTTATAACCATTAGACTCCAGTTTTTCACCCCACCCCTCCATTGCCAGACTAGTATGAAGTTGATAACCTGGAAGGAGGCATTCCAGGGAAAGTAGGAAGGTGTACACAACAGATTTTTCCATCTAGTTGTGTCTTAAATAATCTATGCTATACCCTGTCATGTTCTGGGTAACATCATGCTTCTTTTGTTCTTCCAGTTGGGTCCCTTGTGTATCATGTATCAATGTTACGGGGCAGATGGTCCCACCTGAAGAGTTGCTTGTTTCTGATAGGTCACAATTCCTATTGCACCCACCAGAATTAGCAGCAGTAGGCAGAGTCCCACAGACAGAGTGATTTGGGTCGTGGAAGGATTGTGGTCCCAGGAAACCAGCAACCTAGGAGCACAGAATGTGGCCAAGAGTAATGCCTCAGTTTAGGAGGTGAAGGTTTACCATTATATTACAGAACTCATGAAACCCTGCTTCATTCAAGCAGTAAGTTAAACAGGAAATCTATAAGAAAGAGTATAAAATCTGAATGTAGGAATAAGACCAAGATCCATCAGCAACTTAAATTGTTGGAAGGAGATCTGTTAGGGAAGTGCTTAAGGAAAGAATCAGATTCTGGTATTTGGTTAACATCTCTGGGTAGATGTTATGTAAACATCTAAGGGATCTATGATTCTTCAAGATGGGGGAACTCTATTATTTGTTGTGAGGTGTCATAATGATGGGTCCAAGGTGATCATGTTAGAGATCCTTATTTTCTGAAATACGGAGCCCTGTCTAAAACAATATGCACTAACGTGCTTAATAACTGCAATTTTGAACATCTGGAGTCCAGGGATTCAAAAAATTGCTTGGAATATTGTCTTACTTGATATATTCTGTGGTAAAACTGGCTTCTCCATGATACACTTCTAAAGGCTTCTCCTGGAGAGTCAGGGTGAGGGCCTTGTGCAGCATAGCAACCGAAGGCCCTTGGCAGCCAGGGGATTTCCACATATGCACAGTGAACACCAAACTAGTGGTAATTGATGGGCTGTGGAAATAGCACCTAAATGGACATTTGAGTCTCTTAATGGAGGAATATTTCCTGGAAGAGTGTATGTCATAAAACAGGTGTAGACTTAGGAGTAAGAACAGAAGGTCTTCTGAGGAGAATAAAGAACTTGAACGTTCTCCATGGCCCACTGTATAAATGGCCTGAACTGTTCCCTTTACCTGCCAGTGCCACCTCTGTTCACCAGGGCCTGCAGAACTGCTTCAGCCAGCTCTTCTTTCTGTTCTTCCTGCAGTGTGTGGCCTGGGGGTCCAGCTAATCCTAAAGACAGCTTGAATAGCATGTCTTGGGTTGAAAGATTCACAGGTAGAGAAGTAACAGAGTTGTTACCTTCATTGGCCTGACATAGCCGACCTTGGGGACAGTAGAGAAGACCATGGTACCCAGGTATCTGCAAAGAAATTCATAAAAGGCTTAGTTATAGCCTCAATTACACGTTCAAACTTTCCTTCAAAGGAATACATTCTAGAGTCATGGGCTCAGTACTTGGTTAAAAAAAAAAAAAATGACTATCACAACAGGTTTTACAATCCTACCAACCATACCAGCATTTCGAACTTCTCTTTGCCAGTGTGCCACAACTCTTCCTTTTAAGGTACCCACCTGAATAGCCTTTCCTGGACGACACAAGGCCCAAGGTGATCCCTCTACTTGCACCTCATATGCTCCTCTTTGGGTACATTGATGTAAATAACAACGGCCAGTGAGCTTTGCTTCCTTGAGATTTGGGATCTGAGAGGGACGGCTGGTCTTATCCCCAGGGAGCCGTTGTAAGGTGAGGTTGGCAAGGAAGCAGCGACTCTGGGAATGGTAGATCTCCCCATGGGGATTCTCTGTCCCAGCTGGGAGCCCATTTTCCTTCTTCCAGCATTCACTCTGAAAAGGCAGAAAGTGGGAAAGTGTGTGCTTTGATTCCTTAGAAGTTGACTCCCTTCCAGGTATACTCCATTGTTAACCCAGCTCACTGGTCTACTCACTCTGTTGGCGAGGGGCTTGTACATGCGGCAGCCTTCCAGTGTGGGGTCTGAGGAACAGCTTCCCTTGTCCAAGTGCAGGTAGTGGCAGCCCATCCCACTATGTGAAAGGAAAGGTAGAGTGACACTCAAATTACAGACGGTTGTTCCATCCTCTACCACTCAGCACACATACCTGCCAGTACAGAAGAAGTCTGAGGAGCTGGTCCCACATGTGGTCACCAAGCCAAATTCTAGACCAGATCCTAGAGGAAAAGAGAAGAGAGCCTTCAACAATTGAAGCCCTACACATCCCTCAATACCAGCTATGCACAGCCTGAGTTTCACCTTAGCAGCAGATGATCCCTTCCAACCTATCCCACTTCCCTCAGAGCTAATGTGGGTCATGAGTATTACTCTGCAGATCTCCCTTATTTCTCACCCTTGCCCCACAACAGCTCCTCTGCAGCACTATGGTTGACCTGATACCAGCCTGAATCTTGGAAGGCAGCAAGAGTGACTGAGTCAAGTCGAGTGCGCTGGGCACCATTGAAGGTAGCAGCCATTATAGAACCCTGGAGCAGTCTGGCCTCCCAGTGTGAGGACGAAGGGCCCTGCTAGAGGAGGGAGCAGATAGCTGGTTGTGTCTTGCTACTCCCTCTTTCTTCATCATCCCACGGAGTTATCACTCTCACCTCTTCTTCCAGGGGAACGCCCAGAGAAACCCCTACTACTCCCAAGTGTTTGGCCAGGCTGTGGCTAACAGTTGGGGTGGTGAGAAGCAGCTGTCCCCACTTATCTCGCCTTGTCACTTGTTGCCTTGTAGAACAATTCTCTCTAACTGGGTACAGAAAGAGAAGATGGCAATATGAAGAGATGAAAACCTAGGAAGTGTGAAGTACAACTGAAAGGAAGGAGGTCATAAGATGGTTAATTCCCTCTGGTGTACACTGCATAATTCTCTCCCTCATTCTTCCCATTTACTGTTGAGTCCGGAGGGGCAATCCCGCCACTTCTTGAAGAGCTGTCCAGAGAAGCCCAGGATATGGAGCAATTCATGAAGTGTGACCTAAGGACAAATGACTTTAGTGAAGGGGACTGGATTTGCAGCAGAATTAACCAACAGATTCTATAGCCAAATCTACCCATTCAGCTGTTTTAAAATTTCGAGATGGTTGTCTCCAACTTGCAATCCTCCTGCCTCAGCCTCCTGAGTAGCTGACATTATAGGCACATGCCCCTGTGCCCAGAGCCATCAGCTCCATAGAGCATGAGGTACCTTCTGTCCCATCCTCAGTAGGTTCTTTACTTCATGGGAAGCTGTGATCTGTGTCCACGTCCCCTGCCCCTCCACCCATTTGCTTGTCCTTAATCATCATGCACCAATTACCGTTACAATGTCACCATGGCTGAGGTTGGGGCTGACAAGATGTTGGGCACAGTAGACAATGGTACCAGCAAGGGGCCTGTCTTCTGAGTCCAGCTGGCAGCAGGCAGAATAGGCTATAATAGAGGGCTGCAGATGGGCCAGGAGAAGGTAGGGGTGGAAAGGAAGAAAAGAGATAACAAGATGGAGGGAATCTCCCTGAAAATGAAGGACCTGGAGATGGTAGAACTCTGAAGGGTGTAACCAAGGCATGGTTTGGTGAGTTCTTAGCTCCTGTGCAAGAAGCACAATTTAATAAAAACTGCATCAATCTTCTCTACCTCTCCTCATGAGATTTAAGATTAAGGGAGGCACAGCAGGGTAGAGAGATTTGACTTGAACCTCACCTCTTGGTGGCACCTGGAAGTGTGGGCAATCCGCACATATAGGAGAAAATCAGTGTTCTGGACCCCAGGCCCATCTGGCTGGACCAGTTGTGGGGGACCCTGCTCTGGCCACAAGGTATAACCATGAAGATGGGCATCAGGTATCTGTAAAGGAGTCAGATGTGGCATCTTGCTCAGCAGAAGGATATGGACAGTGGGAGACTAGGTGCTAGGAGGAAAGGAGAAGAGTATCACTGTCTTAGTGCCTTCCACCCACCCATGAGAATCCAGATTTCTGCCTCCAGCCACCTGACTTGCTTTAATATTTTGGGGTTGTGGTAGAGAGGGACCAATTATTCCACATTGTTATCAAGGCAAAATTGAGTAATTCTGATGCTAGAGGTCCTGGGGAGGTCTAAGAGATCTTCAGATCCCTAAGATTGGAAAGTCTCTTACCTTTGCTCCCAGGCAAGTCTCTCCTTTGTACCCTGGGTTCAAGAGGCTGCACCTGCCAAGAATATCCATGTTGAGCTGGAGCCATTTCTGGTATGTTGAAGGCTTGTTGTATGTTCTGTTGGTAACATGAACTCACCTGTGGTAGTTTGGGGTATCTGGGTCTCCCCAGACAGCATGACAGTACTGTGTAGGATCTCGACTCAGAAGCAGGGGTCCTTGCACTGGAGGGACTTAATAAGATGAGGCCAATTCTGCTTCAACATCTCTGAGTTCAGTTTGGTGCTGGTCTTGGCCCTCCCTCCCTCTCTGGTCCCCTCACATCTCCTTACTCACCTGCTAGGACACCATGGATTCGCTGAGTGGCCTCTCTCACTGCAGTCAGGGCTCGGGGTCTCCCTCTCATTACATCCCCCTCAGGATCCCAAACTCCATCAGATGTAGGCTCTCCTATATAGTAAGTTTGGATTCGGAGGGGTTGAGGATCAAGGGAGTTGGGGAGGGTGAGGTAGGAGGAGCGGAAGTCTGGGGCCATTTGGGAGAAAGGGGGCCTGAGAAGGCTCACGGACTTCTGAGTCTCGTCATGTAGACATCTGCCTGTGGCTGCCCCAAGGAGGAATAGTAGCAGCATCTTCTATCAGTAACTTTCCGCAGTCTGCCCTGCACCTTGTCTTCTGTTCCCTTCTTCCCTGATTCACTTGTTTCTGCCTTTCCTGTCTTTACTCTGTCTCTACATTCCCTTCACCACTCTTGTTTTTCCAGGATTTTAGTGTTGTTGACTAAATCTACAGTTCCCTGCTAGCAGGTTGG